TTGCCCACCCTTGTCTCCTGGCCTGTGCCTCACCCAGTGCACTTAGAGCAGAAGCAAAGTACAGGAGAAGCTGCCTGTGCTCGTGTGGGTGTCTGCAGAAGTGCCAGTGCACTGGGAAGGGGATGGGCTGCCTGACCCCAGAAGGGGACGTGGGGCAGTGCGCTCGGGAAGCTCAGCATGAGAGGAAGCCCCTTTGAAGCTCTGTGAGAAGCTGCTGTCTAGCTGTGGCAGGGCAGTGATGTCTGAGCCCTGGAGGGTGGAGCACACTGCAGTGCTGCTGCGATTGGCATGAGGCTGGCCTGGAAAACCGAGCTGCAGCTGCAGGGAGGAACTCGGAGCCATGAGGATGAGGAGGGGGTTGCCCATGTACCATCTGCCATCAGCACGTTGGGCAGCGCGAGCCCAGCGCTCTGTCCTCACAGCCTGTCGGTGGCTGGAGATACCACCACACATCTGAAGAAGTCCTGTTATTGTAGGACAAAGCCTGATGGGGAGAAATATCTTCCTCCCAAGCATAAAACCTTTTCTGAATGCCTTGCTGCTGTCTTATGCAGATGGTGCAGAGCACTGCTCTCCTCACAAAGCTCTGGGTGAACTCTCATGGCTGTTGGCCGTGCTCAGGTGTCTGGCTAGTCTGTTCAGGTGCCTGCAGCAGCCATGAGCTTGGCCATAGGTGAATGTGGAGTCAAACTGCAACAAGGGCAGGGGAATTTTTTGCCTCTGTCTGTCTCCTTGTGCTCTGGAGAAGAGGGCTGTGAATGGTAAGAGCCATCTGGCTGCTGAAATTCTTCTCCAGAAGGCAGATCCTGAGTGTGAGCTAGTTGTTAATATGCGTCATGTGTCCCAAGTGCTGTAAGAATGTGAAAGCCCTTCTCTGAAGGTCACTTTTGATAGTCACCTTGTAGAGGTGACTATATGAGCTCCCTGGTCTCTGCAGTTGTAGGAGTGAGCAATCTGTATGTGTCACTCCAGAGTGTCTTGTTCTGGGATGGCAGGGAGGGAAGTGTGCTGTGAGGGGGAGTTGGTACATCGCAGCCAGCCCAGGAAAGGTTTGGTGACATGGGCAGTGTCTTGCATGGTGTGATCAGCTGCCTGCAGCTCTGGGTTTTGTAGTCACAAGGCACTCTGCTGCCTGGGGGTGGTGCAGAGGTGGGTAGGTTTTTCCTTGACTCGGTAGTTCCTAGCTGTTTGGACTCTTTGCCAGCCTGTTTTTCCTGGGCCAGGCTTTCACCATCATGCTGGTGTACGTGTGGAGTCGCAGGAACCCTTATATCCGTATGAACTTCTTTGGGCTTCTTAACTTCCAGGCCCCCTTCTTGCCCTGGGTCCTTATGGGCTTCTCTCTGCTCCTGGGCAACTCCATCATCATCGACTTACTGGGTGAGTCAAAGCTGGTGTGTGTTGGGAACACGGCCGCTTTGCAGCCACACTGTGCTCTATTCTCCTAGATGCTGCTGGGGCACTAGCACCATCTCTTGGTTTCACCTTCCTGAAGATGGTGGGTTTCCTAAAGTGAGCTGGTGGAGGCTGCTGGGTGCTTGTCACCTGAGCGCTTTGCTGTGTCTTCCCCAGGGCCAGAAGCTGGGTACAGCAAACAGCCTGGCCCACTGGCCCTGCAGCACTGGTGGCTCTGGTGGGAGCTGGGGTATGGGTACCCAGCTGAGGGATTCTTGGAGCTTCATCCTGCTTGAGCCTCCCAGCAGCTGGCAAAGGAGCCCCAGCTGGGCCTGACCTTGCTGACATCTCTCCCCAGGGATTGCGGTGGGTCACATCTACTATTTCTTGGAAGATGTTTTCCCGAACCAACCTGGAGGAAAGAAGTTGCTGTTAACCCCTGGCTTCCTGTAAGTAAAGCTGATGCTTTCTGGGCTTTGCTGCGTTGCTCCCCAACCTGGGTCACTTTCGTAGCAAACTGTGGTCTGTGACAGTGTGGGTGACCATGGGGCACAGTGGCACGCTGGCAGCACCTCAGCTCGACAGGGTACACCTCTGCTGCAGAAAGCACTGGCACCTGGCACGTTACACACAGGGTCCATAGAGCAGCTGGTGGTACCTTCAGCTTTGCTGGTTGAACTGGAAGTGCCAGATGCAGGTAGGATGTTTTTCTGATGGATGTCTGTAGTGTGAGAAAGCAGAATATGTTGTGCTTTATGCAGAAGATAGAAGCTGACCTAGAGATGAAGGCAGCTGGTACTGTCACTGTCACAGTCACACATTGAACTGAGCAGAGAACAGTGAGTGCTGGTGCAGTAGGCAGGTGGCTGTGGCACACAGCTGAGCCCTGTGAAGGGTTAGGAGGTTCCCAGGAGGGCTGGGGGTTTTGTCCTCAGCTCACTTTCCTAACCTGCCTGCTTGGTGGGGTGGGCATCTCCCTTACCAGGAAGATGGTATTTGACACACCTGAAGAGGATCCCAACTATAACCCTCTCCCTGAGGATCGTCCAGAAAACCAACCTAGAGACCAAGACCAGAACCAGCAGGAACATCCACAGTAACACAGAGGACTTCTCCATGTGGCCAGATTCCTCTCCTCCAGCTGGACTTAACGCTGTGGCACGGAGATCCTACTGGAATAACACCAGTTGCCATTCTGATGTGTAACATTTCAGTTTGTGTGGGTAACCCATCTCCCCCTTGTACCGAGTGGTTCCACAGAGCTCTGCACATGAGAACTGATGAACGCTTACAGAGATGTTGTAGGAACAGGGACTGGAAGTTGTGATGGCTCCTCAGTTCCCCAGTGGGGAATAAGTATCAAATGGGGTGCTAAACCAGTTGCTCCTTCTCTTGCTGTTAATGACTTGCTGTGTGCCAGGTCACTCTTGGCCTCTGTACAAAGACCAATGCTCTGGGCTCTCACTGTTAGGAGACCTCTCTGTGGGCTTTCAATGAAGTAGTACTCCCTACTCTACCATGGTAGAATGCAGCTCAGCCTCTTCCTGTCCTCTAAGTCCCTCACCCCTTTTTTTTTTTTTTGCTTTTGTTTCCAAAGTCTTTACATTAAAGCCTTTATTTTTCAGTTGTGTGTCCATTTCTGCCAGGAGCAGAGGCAGCAATTCACCAGTTCCCATCAGGACTTTGCTCAAAACTGCTTGCTTGGGCTTTGCTTTTTTGTTCTGTTTTAAATTGCTTCTCAGATGGGACTTAGAAATGCAAAAACTGGGCTACACTCTTAGCTAGAGTACTAGATCAAGGTAAGGAGTTGTGATTATAGAGCAGGAAAGCTGCTCCCAGCTGTTCCCTACTAGTCCTAATGCACAGAGAAAGGTGGCTTAAGTTCTCATCTTCCAGGGACTTGGCCCCCTGGACTGTCCTGCCTTGTCCCTGGCTGCTTGGAGGGACAATTCCTACAGCCTCTCTGGGGCTTGAGAAGCAGAGGGAGGTACTTGTAAGCCCACTGTAGAAGCTGCAGACCGTGTGTGTGTTTATCTTGTTACCTTCAGGATTTGGTAACCACAAGCTTCCCAGCCACTCAGAGATGGCACCACAGAGGCTAGTTTAAGGCTACAGCAGTTTTCATGCTTGTTTTGGTTAAATTCCCTGAAGAGGCTTCTTGCAGAAGTACCTGATCAAAACAAGGAGAGGCTGAAGTGTTCTCAGGAAGAGTTGGAGGGGTTTTTTTAATGTCCATGAGGCAAAATACATGTTCTACATGGGAGGCTAAGATGCAGCAGGAGTCCAAGGTTTTGTCTTACTTGCTGAAACAACCTTTCAACCTTTCCAAGAAGGAATAATGGATGGAGTACCACTCTGGCACAGGAGCCTCGGCTAAGACTGCAGTAATATTATTGCTAAATTGCAAGTTTGTGGTTCCTGCAGACTAACATCTGGAAAAAATTCCCTCCCACCCAGGAATCAGAACTGGCTCTGCGATTACTCAAGTCTAAACATGATAAATTAAGGCCGGAAAGTGTTTTCTGACTGTGCTAGCAGTGTGGGTGGATCAGCAAGGATCATAAAACCTTTTGGCTTTATCATAAAGGCCCAAATATAACTCTCAGGCTTCCAGTAAAATCTGCCCTGCTTGCAACACTCATCAGTTCTGGCAGTGAATGGTAGGAACTCCATCAAAGAGTAAAGGTAAATTCTAATTTGTTTTTTAAGCAAGCCTGGTTGTTTTGGTTTTTTTTTTAATCTCACTTCAATGGATTTTGTTTCTAAACTCCCCAGGGAAAGACAGGTTGTTTCTAGGGTTGCAAAAGCCTGATACTGTAATGTTTAAGACACCCACTTTGCTTTGGGTGCTCAATGCACTCTACCTGGCAGCTATGTGGGCTGATGGTGACCCCAGCAAAGCCACTTGCTGAGGAGAAACTGCAGTCTCAGTGATTGCAAGCTTCAACTTCTGTACCAGACATTCTGTTGTTCTCCAGAGTGTGGGCTGATGATGACCCCAGCAAAGCCACTTGCTGGGGAGAAGCTGCAGTCTCAGTGATTGCAAGCTTCAGCTTCTGTACCAGACATTCTGTTGTTCTCCAGATGCAGTCCTCACAGAAAGAAGGTTCCCCACACACCAGGCTGACATCTGACAAATGAGTGTTAAGTTTGTGACATTGGTTCAACTGTTCTACCCCTGCACCAACTGTGGTAACAGAGCAGTCCTTTAGAGAGCTCTCTGCTTCTTCTAGTTTTAAGTCTCATTCTCACTTTCCCCTGCAGCAAAAAGTAAAGCACTCAGCTTCCAGCATGCTTCAGGAAAACAATGCACGTAAGGGCTCAGCATTATACCCAAAAGCATTAATGTCAGGCCCCAGGACTGCTCAGTTATCAGAACGGCATGAAACATGGTGAGACTTATTCAAACTTACCCAACAAAACCTGAGTAATACACATTCCTTTTATTTAAAAAGTTGTTCTAATAGTGCATGTTGCACCTATACAAAAGAATCTTTACACTGTCCACACACAGGTATAGAAGGGCTCCAACAGCTGCCACAGGTCTCAGCTAGATCGCGTGCTA